ATTTATCACTTCAAAAGATTATATCTTTTAGATTATATCACTTAACATTTTAATCAAAAAATTATTTTAGAAAAAAATTTTAGAATTGCACTGTAAGATTTTTATTTAGAAAGACGATATTTTATATACTTATTAATTTAATATTTTCAATATATTTTTATGAAAACATGGTCTGAAATATTATTAATAGAATTATTTTTATTGATCTTGCCAAATGGAATGTTCAAAAAATCGTCCTGGTCAAAATATTTGTCATCTGTACACAAACCGAGAGAGACAATTTTGTGTTTCACAAGTGTTTTGCTCAGATTTCTGTCTGAATATTCAAAAGAGAAAAATATTCCATTCTCAAATTTATTCAAGAGAATTTTGTCTGCATCTCTTAGATGTCATGATATTATTCTATCAATGGAAAAATCCTTCAGTATAATAAAAAAATAATATAATTAATTCAAAATGGAAAAAAATAAACAGGATATTAAGAGGATATTAATACAAACGAATTTATAAGCCTTTTAAATATTTTGAATATTTCCAATGATATGAAATCTTTTATTGTTAACACTTCTCGTTCTACTATTATTTACTCATTTCTATCAATATTGGCATCAGCTATTCTGACACCGTCTGCTAATACGTACAGTCAAATAAATCATTTATCATTTATCATCCAATATAACATCAAACATGAGTAAATCTAAAAACTTCACATACCGATTAAGGAAAAATTACGAGGAAAAGGTCCAATTAAAGCTTTATTTTCAAAAATTTGCATCAAACGTGGAAAATCTTTATAGCGGATATTTTCCTTTTTGATTAAAATATTTTATCTTTTTCATTTTTCAAAATATTTCAAAATATATAATATTTCACATCTTCTTTTATAATTAATCCTCAAAAACTTCTATTCGTGCTTCAAATGAAAATTCACTTATAAGAATACTGAAACACCAAAATACGTTGTGAAACGTTTGAAGAAGGACAGACATTTTCCTTCCTAACGTTAAATAATAATAATAAAGTTAAAAGCTCTTACTCGAACAGGAATTTAATTTTAATTTTATAATACAGTCTTATTTACTTGTCTTGATAAGAACAAACGAAAATCATAAAACTTTAGGTTCCTCGAATGTTTTGAAATTCTAAGATACATTTTAGAAGAGAGAAAAAAATAAGAAATATCTTGAATCGTTTCACTTATCGTTAGATCGCGATCATCGATCGCATACTTCCCATTCCTCGTGTTTAACGAGGAATATTGTAACAAGAATTCGAACGTTGTGCAAGGAAAATTACGAAACGTAGGCGTACTTGCAGTGAAACGTCCTCGCGATTACGTAAAGAGGAAAAAGAAATACATAAAGAGGCAGAGAAGCGAGAAAAAAAAAAGCAAAAGGAGCAGCTTCGATCGTTCTTTATTAATAGCTTGATCTTTAACGAAACAGGAAACGATTCGAAAGAAATATAGCGCAGTTACATAAAATTCGCGATGGAAACGATTTTTTAAATTTGATTTTTTCGCTATTTTGATAAAGCGCTTCGTTTCCAGGAATTACGTGCACTCGCGTGAACAATTTTCGATGATAATCTCTTTTGTTTCGCTTTGTTTCCTGTCTTCTTAAACCGATTTCTTCGAATTCTTCGTCAATCTCTTGAGATAATCTCGCGTTAATTTATGACACGAAAAATCGAATAGATGAATAGAAGAAATTAAAATCGTTCCGACAATCAATGCCGATATCTGAATTTCGAATAATGAATCAAATTTTGAATCGTTGATATCAATTAATTTTTATTTTTACTCCTTCTTAAGATTGATTTGGAGAATCAAATGCCATTGTTGGGCAATTTAGATGATTCAAGATGTGACAAATTCGTATGTAATCACATACTCGATAAACACGTTATAAATAATATTTGGGTAGATCTTCGTATGACTAATCAAACATTCTTATCGTATCTCTTAATAAAATATAAAGCCATACATAAAGCAAAAAATTGAAATTGCGAGATATTATTTCTTCAACGATCAATTTTATACCGTCATCGTTGATTAATTAATTGTCAGACGAAGATTTCAAATGTGGAAAGTTTAAGTTAATTTGCATCGAATCATCGAAAAATTCCCACGTGACAAAATTGAAGAACAATCGCTTTTTCCTATATTTACGAGAACCATTTTAAAAAATTAATCAAATTTAATTATATTTATTATTATATATTTACATTTCGCAGATGGATAACGTTATTGAGAGAAATTATTCTATAATACAAATTATTCTATAATACGTGAAATATATCAAAATATGAATAGTGAATCCATAATGAATATTGAAATATTATTATTATTTATTAAATTTATTTGTGTATAATTATTCAGTAGATATTATATCACAATCAGAAATTAATAGATAAGTAGAGTAATTCTTTTCTAACTATCAATATATTGATAATTTTATTATTCCTCATTGTTAGCTTTATTTTTCTTGCATCTATCTTATTATAGACAAATATAATCTAATGAATAGAATCCAATGAAAAGAAAAACTTATTTTCAAGATAAGAATTTAACTTTGCAATTGCATCTTGATGATACTTTAATATCAATAATTTAGAATCATTTATTATAACGTATATTCTTTTTCTTCTACAATCTGTACAAATTTGATATTGACTAAGCAATTGACAAACGATGAGTAAAGATAACTATGATAACATCGATTCATTGGAGTTCGATCTCCAATAGAGATCTA